TCCCCCCCCCCTCCATCACCGTGTCCATGGCGATGAGGGATGCACCCTCCACGGCCAGCACAGGGCATCCTGCTGCCACCTTCCCTTCACCCGCGGGCAGCAGGGTACCAAGCTCCATCCCCAGCCCTCGAGCCCGTTCCCAAAGGCTCAGCCCTTCCCCAAGGGCCACCAAGATCTTTCAAACCAGGCTCCCCAAAGCACTTCTTGTTCCTCCTCCACCCCCAGGCTCTGGTGAGTAAGAGCAGCAATGCCCAGAGTCATGGGGCTGCAGGCTTATTTGCATCTCCTCGCTGCTAAACCACATCCATGCCCACAGCATCGTCCCATCCAGCAGGGCTGCAGATGTGAGGGCAGCGCTGAAGATGCTGCTCCTGCATCGCCCCATCCCACCCTCAGGTCAGGGTTTCACCCCTAAGCTCCTCTATGAGGGAGCATGGGCATCCTCAGGGTCTGCAGGGATGCAGCCCATGCACCGAGGAGCTGGTGGAGCCAAGAGCTTCCCAGCATTGGGAAGGGGATGGGAGTCACCAGCTCCTCTTGACCATAAGGATATGAACTGAAGCAAACTCAAGCTTAGGAGTGTAACTGATGCAAATGAACTCAATTTGCCACTGCTATGACAATGCTGAGTGCTGGGAGGGTGACACCACAGAGTGGAGAGATGGATGGGAAAGACCTGGCCAGCACCACCAGGACCAGGCCCCTTCCTCCATCCCAGTGCTCAGGCTCAACCATCACAGCTCCAACCAGCTCCTGGCACTTCCAATGTGGCAATAAACCCACACAAACCAGTGTCCTGACCATCTCCTCTTCTCAGGGGTGGACCTGCCCATCCATCAGTCCCTATTCCCACCATTGCCATCCCAAAACCTGGCTCATCAAACAGCTGGATGCTTCCAAGTCCCCAAACAACATTAATCATCTGGGTCTATAACAGCACCACGACCTGCAAGCCGAAAGCAAGGCCCCGCTGCCCTGGCATGCCCATGGTGGGACAGGGACAGCTCCTCACCCCGTGTCCCTGCATCACAAGGCGGGTGGGTGAGGATCCAGCCCTGACAGCTGGGGCTCAGCTGTTGCTGCTCACTCACAGGAACCATTCTAGAGCCAGGGGCACCAACACCAAGCCAAGCCAATGGCCATCACTGGCAGCTCCAGCCAGACCCATTGGGGATGGTTCCCATTAGCAGGGAGCAATCAGCCCCTCCAGACCCCCCTCTGCTGCACTCTGTGAGCCCCCCCCTGCATCCTGCATCCCGCTCTGGGACAACACAAGAGGGATGTGGAGCTGCTGGAGCGGGGCTGGAGCATCCCTGCTCTGGAGCCAGGCTGAGAGAGCTGGGCTGGGGCAGCCTGGAGGAGAGAAGGGTCCTGAAGGGGAGACCTGAGAGCAGCTCCAGTGCCTAAAGGGGCTGCAGGGAACCTGGAGAGGGGCTTGGGATGCAGGGATGCAGGGACAGGACAAGGGGAATGGCTTTGACCTGGCTGAGGGGGGATGGAGATGGGATCTTAGGCAGAAGCTCTTCCCTGTGAGGGTTTTGGGACACTGGGATGGGTTGAATGGAGAAGGTTTGGATGCCCCATCCCTGGCAGTGCTCAAGGCCAGGTTGGACACAGGGGCTTGGAGCATCCTGCTCTAGTGGAAGGGGTCCCTGCCTGTGGCAGGGGTTGGAGCTGGAGGAGCTTGAAGGTCCCCTCATCCGAACCCATTCCATAATTGTATGATTAAGATGGAAAAAGCTTTTTCTGGGATGAGCCAGTCCCAGCCCCAGGGCCTGGGCTCTAAAGCAAGGAAAGAGTTAACAGAAGGCGTTGAAACCCCCACCACAACCTCCAGAGGAACCACAATAAATCACCTCCCCAGCACGAGGACCGAGTAAACACGGTGCCTGCTCCCTGCTTTCCTGTTTGCTGTCCCACTTCCAAGCTGGAACAACCCCTTCCAAGCGGCCACAGCACCCGTGTCGGGCCCCAGCATCATCCCCACCACGGGGGACCATGGATCTGAGCTTCCCACGTAGGGGCTGGATGTGTCCCCCCCCCAGTCTGCATCTGCCTGCTGTGCTTTCCTTCCCCATCTATATCCTACAGGATGAATCTCAGCTCACCCACTCCCCATCAAGGAGCCGCGTTCTCCCTCCCTGCCTCAGTTTCCCCCTCCCCATGCAGCTCAACCTCCCATCATTGGAATTTCACCACCACCCCTCCTTTCCCCCTTCTCCCATCTCCCTCCCTGCTCACGCAGCCCTGGATCAAAACCAACGGGGTCCTGATTCCCAGGCACTTTTGTGCTTTACCACGAACACAAAGGGGAAAAAGACCCAAAACAGAGGCAGACTCACATTGAAGAGCGGTGTCGGGAGCACAAAAGGGGGGGTCTGTGGCAACCCCCCCCCCCAAGCAGAGCAGCGGTGACCGTGGTGGAGGCTGACCATAGATAAGGGCTCTATATTCGGCGCTGTAAGGCGATCGGGCCGGGGGTGTGCCGGGGCTGCTGCTTCGGCTCCAAACTCAGCACCGAGCCTGCAGCGTCACCAGGGTTTCAATAAGGAAGGAACGAAAAGGAGGAGGAGGAGGAGGAAGGAGGAGGAGGGGAAATCAATAAATAAGAAGGGAGGGAGGGGGGGGGGAAAGCACCGGTAACAACAGCACCGAAATCCCGACCAAAATGCAGGGCAAAGCAGGCACGGGGAGGGGAACGGGGGGGAAGGAATGAAAGGAAACCCGGTTTGGGGCTGGCGAGCTCGGGAGCGACGCCTGCTTTAAAAAAAGCAGTTGCTAATTTTAACTCTCCAGTGGAAAGAGTGAGAGGTGCTTCCAGGAGCCAGGGTGGCTGCGTCCTTCTCCTGGCAGGGAGGGAGGATGGAGCCGCCGGTCCCATATGAAAGCACCCCAAAGCCCCAAGGTTTGGGTGCCTCAAGGGTTGGATGAGGTGGGGAAGTGAGCACCCAGAAGCAAACAGCCTGAAAGCAGCACCCCCGGGGCTCACTTCCTCCATCATCCCAAACCCAGGGGCAAGGAGGCGGGATGGGGATGGGACCGCATGGGTACAGCGGGACCATGGGCCCGGCTGCTGGGTCACTGTGGTCAGATGACATTTCTGCACATGCATTCCTCAGCAAGCTGGCTTTTCCCCAAGGGAAAAGGGCTTTGAAGGCATTTCCCCACCACCACCCCCTCGGTGGCCAAAGAGTGGGTGAGCTCAGACAAGCAGAGCAGAGCTGGGCCCACCAGAGGCCACGTGGCTCCATAGGGAACTGAAAGGTGGCATCCAGCAGCACAGGGGGCAGGAACCCAGGATCCCACCTCTCCCAAAGGAGGAAAGAGCCAAGAAGTGGGAATTTTGCTGAGCCCATCGGTTGGTTTTCACAAGCTCTCCCCAGAGATGGGGAGGATCCTGCTGGATGCAAACAGCTCGGTACCAGGAAGGCAGCACGCTCATGCTTGGGGCATTAAACCTCAAGAGAACCCAATGCAAGGACTTAGAGGGCAGAGCCGCTGCCCCAAAGGCTCTTCCCAAAGCAACTGGAAAACAACCTCGGCCTGCAAAACCCTATGGAGACACAAGGAGGTTGGCACAACCCCTGCAGCTCATCCCTGCGGTCCTAAGGACCACGTGCTTTCCCGAGCCCGGCTGCAGCGAGATGATGCCACCGTCTCCAGGACATGAAAGAGCCGATTCAGTTCAGGTCACGGGCCCTAGGAGATGGGATTGGGCTGCGAGAGCTTTTCCTGGTGCACCTCAAATGGGGCTGGCCTCAGGAAGACAAAATGCCTATTGATCGCGGGCAGTGATGCTGCACGGCGCAGGATGCCTTGGGATGAAAGCTCCCGGTGCCGCTCATCGCACGCTTCCGAGCGCGGCTCGATATTGCTCTTCTAATTGCTCAGCTCCTGTCGCTCACGGGGTGAAGGGGATGAGCTTCAGAGCACCCCCAGAGAGGCTTTTGGCCTCCCTTGAGCTGCACAACACTGCTGCTCCTTGGAGCAAGCAATGATGCAGCTGAGAGATCACTTGCAGCGCTCCTCCTCCCCTGCTCCCAACGCTGCGCTGGCGCCGGCAGCAGCACGGGGCTCTGGGGGAGGATGCTGCCAACCCAAAAACCTGGGGTTTGGGGGAGCTCAGGAAAGCAGGAGCCGCTGGAGCTGGTTGGAATGGAGCCACTGGAGCAGAGCATCCGCCTCCCGCAGCGAGCAGGGGGTTTGGGGGGAACGCAGCTCGTCACAGAGTGGTTTGGGTTGGAAGGGGCCCTAAAGCTTATCCAGTTCCAACCCCTGCTATGGGCCATTCCCCATCGCCAATTTACAGAGATCCTGACAGCATCCTGGTGCATCAGGCCCATGGCCCTCAGGGGCTGTGTAAATGCTGCCCTCCATTCCCAGCCGAGCCATCCCAGTCCTGCTTTCCTGCAGCACTCCACAGCCCATCCCTGGCACAAACCGAGACAGAGCAGGGCCCTGCCTCTGCTTCTACCCTTGGTTTCTATCATCACAAGTGATGGCAGGATGAAGCCCTTGGTGCTGACCTTGCGGAGGAAGCAGCCACTGCTCTCCCCATCACCCAGCACCAAGATAAATCACTGCCCCTTCTCCAGCATGAAAAAGCCATCTCAAGCCAGCAAAAGTGCTCCCTAAGCAGCAGTGACAGAGCCCCCTCCTTCAGGAGCCGGGCTCCCGTTATCCCTCCCTGCATTGATTTCAGTAGCAGGTACAGAAGATGCAGCCCATCAGACCACAGGAGCCTTCCTAAATCGGGTCCGTGGCGTTGTCTCTACCACAACCTCACTGCAGCCAAGGGGAGGCCAGCATTTCCCGGAACAGCAATGAGCAGGCAGAGAAGGTGGAGAAGGGAGAACACCGGGATACGGGGCCCTCTCTCAACAAGGAACAAGAGAAGAGTGGGTTTGGGCTCCCCTCCTCACCCCCAGCCCGGAGCAGGGCCCCCATCAAGTGAACTCAAGGGGGAAGGGGCTCCAGGAGGTTGGGGTTTCCCCTCCTACCTGCTACACAGCCTCCTGCATCTTCTGCTCCTGCCAGAGGATGAGCTGCAGGCACCGCTCCTCAATCACACTGCAAGGGAAAAGCAAGCAGGCATCAGTGCGAGGGGCTGGAGGCAAGGACAAGGCTCCCCATGGTTCAGAGGGGACACTGAGAGGGTCCCAGACCCCTCCCTCAGTGCGGGGACAGGAGCTGGGGATCCCCTCCTGCACTGCCCTCACGCTGAGCATCACTGCAAGGAGCTGCAAGGATGCAGGAGCCCCAACGCAGTGAAAGGCAGAGAGCATCCCAGTGCCCGGAGGTGGGGATGGGACACGGGAACCTTTGGGAGCCCAAAGCAAAGGGGGGAAAGGAGTTTTCTGCCCCTTTTCCCAGCTGGACAAAAGGGAAACTGAGGCAGCAGGGCCAGGACCTGGCTCTGGGGATGCACAGCAGCCTCCCCCATCCCCGGTGCTGCAACAGAGCAAGGAATTGTGCTCGGCTCCCTCATCCCCTGCTCCAAGCAGGCTCCCTCCCCTCCCACGGCCAGCTCACTTCCTGATGTGCCCAAATCCAGCCTGAACAAAGCCCCGGAGGAGGAGGAGAGCGCATGGCTCCGGCCGGGAATGCACATGGAGGGGATACCCCAAAGCAGGCGCTTCCTGGGCTGCCAAGAGCATCAAACCCTGTGCCACGTCTCTGGGGTCCTGCTGATGGCAGCCAGGCCACAGGGGTCGGTGTTTAACACAAAGAGTGGTCCAGGAGCATCTTCTCCTGGGAGGAGATGAGCCGCTGGGATAGAACCAGAGAAGCCCAGCGTGGGTTGGGTTGAAGGGACCTTAACGCTCATCCAGCTCCATCCCCCTGCCACGGGCAGGGACAGCTTCCACTGGAGCAGCTTGCTCCAAGCAACCAACCTGGAAGGTTGGGAAGAGGGAAAAGGATCATGGTTTCATAATGCTCTTTTATGAGCTGAGGTGGGGAAAAGCATGAGGGGAGGCGACTGAATTCCCCTTTCTAAGGGAAGAAACAGAGGGGAGGAAAAGGGGGGAAGAGCAGACAAGCTTCCTGCCCAGCTCTGGGGCAGAAGCGCTGAGCAGGCAAGAAAACGGTTCCTGTTTGACACCCAAAGCTTTGGTTTCACTGAGCCACAAAGGAAAAGGTCTCGGAGTGAGATCTGCCCCAGGAACAGTGGGAAACCCTGCCCCAGCATGGGGGCACCTTGGGGGGGAACCCCACGGCTTTAACGGATGGACTGGGGCTGGTGCAACCTGACAGGGAAAGGATGCTCCAACCAGCCCCAAAGGATCCCAGAGGATGTGAAGGGATGGCTCCAGGTGACAACCCCGGATGCTCGGGTACCTGCTCGGCTGATGCTCGGGTACCTGCTCGGCTGATGCTCGGCACAGGGCCTTTGCTAATACCCGAAATACATAGAATCACAGACTGGTCTCCCCTTAAACAGCCTTCTCTTCTCCAGGCTGGACAAGCCCAGCACTCTCAGCCTGCCATATATGTATTTATATATATATATACATATATATATACATAAATCCCTAAATATATATATACACCCACATATACACATCCCCAAATATATACAACCCCATATACATATATATACACACACACCCCTGACTACATCATATATATATGTAATACCCCATATAAATAACCCCCTTGTGCCATTAGAGGAAGGGTCTAAGGCAAAGCCCATCCTCGCTGTACACAGAAGGCTGGAAGCCACCAAACCCCTCCAGTGAGCTCCCAGCTGGGTGCTGGTGTCCCATGGGATACCCTGCAGGGCCATGGGGACATCCCAAAGCTGAGGGGGAGATGGATGGAGCTCCTCCGGGCTGAAGGGGCCAAGAGGGAGGCGCAGATTGCGGAGGGGAAGCAGCCGACCGCAATCTCTCCTTCCCCTTTCTCTGTGTTTCCTTTAGCAACGGGCTCGGGGCCGCAAACATTTGAATGCCAAACCCAAACTTCCCCCCTCTCCATGCTCCTGACCTGCTCCATGGCTTCTCTGCCAGGAATTCTGGACCCCCAGCCCAAAGAGGCTGACCCCAGAGCCCAGGGTTGGGCCACGGCGAGCTCAGAGCATCCCAACAACAGCATGGACCAGCTCCAGCATGAGCCAAAACCCAAGCCCCAAAAGGCCATTCCCTTCGTCTCCAGCCCATGAAACCAAAGCATCTCAGCCATAACTCAGCCTTCAGCTTGCACCAGCCACCGGGAATACCCCCCAGGGCTTCATTAGGCCTGATTAGTCTTTTCCATTTGGGTTTCCTGTGGCTTGCCACCAAGAGATGGGAAGGGACAAACTGGGAGAGATCCCACTGCAGGCAGGAGCAGCGGGCAGGCCAGTGCTGGTGGTTAAATGGGGCAAGAAACCACAGCTCCCAACCACCCATAGTGCCGGATCCTGCCCCGAGTCACACCACAGGGCTGGGAGCCAGGAGGGAGCCATCCACCTCCAGCAGCACCAGAGGCTCAGCTGGAGATGCTGGGCTGAGCAACGGCACGGGAGCGATGGCACAAGCCCATTGTGCCAAGGACACATCCTCACCATGCAGAAGGTGCAGCCACCACCACCAAAACCTGCACAGGGATGGGGCAAAAGCACAAGGTGGGGGGGGTCCTCATCACCTTGCCCCCATAGAGGGTCCCAGCACAGGCTTCCTGCCCAAATCCATCCCTTGGGTGCTCTCTGTCACAGCCACCATGGAGGGGTTGTGATGTTGGCCAATGGCCCTGCCAGGACCTGGGGGACACCAATGGGGGTGCTGGGGGTGGGGGGGGAGTGCAACCGTTGGAGCCGCTGAGTTTCGCTCTCGCCACCCGAGTTCCCCCTTGGGTGGAGATGCAGAACTGAAACCTCCAGATGTAGGGAGGAGGGTGGGGGAGATGGGAGGGCTGGGGACCAGCACGGGGCTCGGCAGGGGGATGCAGGGGGGGACCAGGGTTTGCCATAGGGGGATGGAGAGGGGACCAGGAGTTGCCACAGGGGGATGGAGAGGGGACCAGGAGTTGCTATAGGGGTATGAAGGGGGCACCAGGAGTTGCCACAGGGGGATGGAGAGGGGACCAGGAGTTGCTATAGGGCGGTGGAGGGGGGACCAGGAGTTGCCATAGATTCATAGAATGGTTTGGGTTGGAAAAGACCTTAAGCTCACCCAGCTCCAACCCCTGCCACGGGCAGGGACCCCTTCCACTGGAGGAGCTTGCTCCAAGCCCCTGTGTCCAACCTGGCTTTGAGCACTGCCAGGGATGAGGCAGCCACAGCTTCCTCAGCACCCTCACAGGGAAGAGCTTCTGCCTTATCTCCAACCTGAACATCCCCTGGTCCAGTTTGAACCCATCACCCCTTGTCCTACCGCTGCGCTCCCTGATGAAGAATCCCCTCTCCAGCATGCAGATACCACACATTGCCTTGCATGGGGGTCCCAGCTCCCCTAGTCAGGAACAGCATCCCCATGGGCCCCAAGGCTGATGCAGCACTTGCCCCCTTCCCGAGCCCAGGAAGCCAGGAAGAGGAAACCACCCTCATGAAGAGCAAAGCCCTTTTGCTTTGCTCTGCTGTCGCCTGAGTCAGCAGCCTGCACCCAGCCTCTCCCTATGGAAACCAAACAAACACCTTCCCCCAGGTCCAAACCCTCCAGCCCATCCATCTCCCTGCCCTGACACCCAGTGGCAGGTCCCCACCGAGGTGATGCCCCCCAAAGCCCTGTGCTGGCACGACTGCAAGATGCAGAGGGAGGAGGTGGGAAGTCACTAGGAAGGACCAAGGCAGAACACTGCGCATCCTCCGTCCCATGGTGGCAATGGGGACAGGCAGGAAAATCCCAGCCCAGCTCCGTGGTTGGGAGCAGAGAGCTTCTTTAAGGCTGCTCATAAAGGGTGACTTGCAAACAGGCAAGAAGAAAGCCCTCCTTGTGCACAGGAGATGGGGCCTTGTGCTCAAACACAGGGCAACTGAGATTTGCATCTCATGCCAGGTTGTGCCATAGACCCTCCTGTGTGTCCTCACCTAAACCAGCCCCTGATGATGCTCCAGGCACCCAGCACCTCTCAACAGCCCAACTGGTGACCCCAGTGCTGCTTGTTCCAACACCTCAGCACCCTTTGGGGAAGGAACTGCTCCTCATCTCCATCTAAACCCCATCCCAACAAAGCCAGCATCCATCAGAACAATCATCCCCGGCCTTAAACAAGGGTTTAAGCCCCCAAATCCCCTCGGTAGCCCCGTGCAGGGAAGGGAACTGCTCCCCAAACCCCACATCCACTCCTTTGATGCTGGAGATACCAAAGCCTCCAGATGAAGCTATTTCTCCCCAGCGAGGTGCTGAGCATCACTCGCACATTCGGTGCCGTCGTCAGCAACTCCCACACTGCCCCCCCACGTACACCACTGCGAGGGGAAGGCACCCACAGAGAGAAGGAGAAGATCTGGGTGTGATGGGGTGGACAGTGAAGGGAGCAGCACGAATCCATAGGACATCCCCCCCCCAATGGGGCAATGATGCCTCCATGGCCAGCACTTCCCACAATACGAAGTGATGGATCTACCCCAATCACCCTAGGAAAACCCCCAAAGGCAACCCTCACTCGCACCAGCCAATGCAAAACGTAGGGTTTATCAAGTGTTGGAACCCCAGACTGGTTTGGGATGAAGGGACCTTAAAGCTCATGCAGCTCCATGGGCAAGGACACCTTCCACTCGAGCAGGGTGCTCCAAGCCCCATCCAACGCTACCAGGGATGGTTCATCCCAACCTGCCCTCTTGGACCAATTGCCATTGGAAATCCCAGTGTTCTGATGCAGGAGGATGGAGCAGAAGCAGCTCCCGGGCCTGGGAGCCAATCCCAACCAACAGAAAGTGTTTTCCTTTTTAATCCCATGATTTTCTTTAGCTAATCTCTCCAATGCAAAGGGAAGACGAGTTTGGGATGCTGCCGGCGGGACACAGCACGTGTAGCGCCCCAGCCAGGACTCCATGCCCTGCTCCCCATTCCTATCCCTTTTGGTCATATTCATCTTGCCTCCTCCTTGGAATCACTGTGCAGGGGTAGAACAACAACAGCAGAGCCCCG